AAGATAGTGGAATCAAGGCTTTTAGAAAGAAGCATTTTGCAATTCCTCTTCAAATTCAACGATATCAAATACTTGAACTTTGCAATTCTATCGCAAAACTTTTGAAATGTAGCTAGGTAACATACATCGTAGAATCCAAAAATATGAAAAAACATGTATGTTAATTTCGACCATTCCACTGACCTCGGAAGCAATGCTCGACTGAGTCGCGAAGTCTCTCTTAAACTTGAACTTTATTTACTAAAAATTAAAGGACATGAAAAAATAGCTAAATAGCTAGTCAAATGGAGTATATTGCAGCCCTATTGAATCCTGAACTTCGACTGAGTTATGGTGATGTCAGACACTGTATTTAGTGTCTGATAATTTCCTAAGTACTTGTACAAAACTGATTTTCATAGGCAGAAGTGAATAAAAAAGAGAAAAATTTGTTCGAGGTGAGATTCGAACTGGGTATTCCGTATCAGTAGAGACAAAACACCGTCGCTTGAATACGGTGAACCGCTGAAAACCGGAAGTTTGGCGGTTAACTGCGGTAAACCGAAGGGTAAAGCGCCCAATTAACCGAACGATTAACAGTGGGTTAACCAACGGTTTTCGAGCGGTTTGTGTGAGATGGGTTATTATTGAGAATTTTCGGAAGAGTTATTGTCCACGAAAAACCATTTAAAAACCGTATGTTTGTGTTTTAAATATGAAAAGGCTTCGATTCAGGAGATCCTGTGCTGAACCGTACGGTGCGGCTACACTGGTAACATCTGTAGAAATCCAGCTTTCTTTGTTAAAACACCGGATTTTCATCCATGATTATTAAGTAAAAGTAAATATTTCTTCGCCATTGGATAGCCGGCATCATTCTGCGTCGGAGTATGTCACACTTCAGTGACTAGAACACATTTTGTGGAATGCGTAATGAGTATTATTTCTAAACCTGTTTATTGGTGCTTATTTTTATTTTCCTGTTTTCTCAACAAACAAACTTGTAGAAGCGATTAAACTGGCCATCATTCAAAGCGTATATACCACTAGTAAAACTTCAGAAAAACGAACTCGGTTTCCCTCAATATTCCGTCTCAATGCACACTGTACAGGTCAGGAAAAAAGGCGAGCTGCCCAACTTTAGAGTGAGATTTTGACTAAATCCTTTTACGATTGAACTTCCAGAAGAAATTCCCTTCGCTTCAAAAGCAAGGGTCTTCAAAACGGTAAATAGATTTTTCTTTCATCGCTTGGGATAGGACAATTTTTCGTACCTTTTCTAGCAAGGTTTTGATTATTATCGTAGATTTGTGGAAAAGAGCTGCACCAAGAAAGACACTTTTATGGAGAAATGGAGCTCACAGGACTATTTTTAGGGCTTTTCCAACAGGAAGTTTTAGGCCTCGATTGAAGTCTTGTCTTATGCACTCTAAAAAACATGTGTCATGTACAAAGCTTAAAAGGGTTTAGAGAAGTGTCCCAACAAGATACTCGTAATGGTTTGGAAAAATGCTGCAAAAAAGGTACCGTTGACGTCAGAAACTATCTACTAAACCCTTTTTATAACTGGTAATAAACCTTAAAAAAGGTTTAGTATAGGGTTTCTCACAGCCATGATACCTTTCTGAGTAGCTGATTGGGACACTTTTCTCAACCCTTATAAAACGTTTCGTACAGACATGTCATCCTTTTTTGACCAATTTATACCTATGATAAAAATGCGTGAAAAACCGACTTTGGAGCATATTTTTAGAAAATTTGTCACCGGATCAACTTAAATATTGAAGCCTTGAAAAATTATGTTATATGGAACTCCACTAGTACCGTACAAACACTGTGTGAAACATGATAAGGTAGGAGGAGGCCTCGAGCTACAGAGAGCTGTTTGAAGATTCTTCAGTACAACATTCGTGGGTTTAAGTCGCGTAAATTAGAAATTCTCACACTATGATTGAGCACAAATCTCAAGTTGCTGTGTTCGTAGGAACTAGCAAACTCTGCATCGCAGACGAAGGAGCTGACATCCAAACTATGGGATATACTATACGGAGGGGGTCGAACTCTTTTAGTGGTGTCTCAGTTGTCATACATCGGCACATCAACCACTCACTTGTTTCGAAGCAAAATAACGGAGTTGTTATCGACATCGACATGATCAGTGAAAAGTCTTTGAGAGTTTTCGAGTTGTATTGTCCATCGTCGGACTCGCTATTACTACCAGTCTTCGATCAATGAGATATTACATTGAGAAAAAAAGAGCTTTGAATTTATTTTATCAGATGCTTCGTCGAAAACTGAATCTGGCAAACTGTGTTTGTAAGAAGTAAAGCTCAAACGCGAATTTTGGTAGGCTCGATAACAAGCTGGATCCTCCCACCTTGCAAATCTATCTAGTTTTTTGCATTGAGAACTATCCCTTTCATTCATACGCCAAAAGAATCTCCGTCAAACGTAGATAAAAGTTATATGTGTCCATTTTTGAAATTCCTTTTCGTTCCTTAGATATTCAAGAAAAAGAAATTATATATATATTTTTGTGCTGATATTCTTTTTCTTCTTCTTTATTTTAAGTTTATTCACTGAACATATGTTTTGAATGATTGACGTTCGGAAAAAAAGCAAACATAAAAGAATTTTGATTTCTTTTCTTTTTCTTCCATTCTCTGACATTTTTCTCCTCAGTAGTCATGTGCAATGCCATAACATTTTTTTTTCTTTTCGCCGAGTTACTCATAGATGATGTTTTTGAAATCAAAGAAAAAAGTTGTACGGTTAAGTCAAAAAACAAAACAATTATTCAAAAAAATTTTTTATCTTATTTTCGCATTGTAGATAAGAAAAATGTTACAATTGTATAGCAATACGAGAGTAATCTCTAGTCTATGCAGATCATTTGTCAACCAGTTTGGCAAACGGTGTCAAGGAACAACAACAACAAATACTTCGTCAGATCAGAGTTCACATAAAATGATGTTTAATAGCGGACACATTAAAGGACCTATTAGTCATCAATTAAAATTTATATATCCAGAAGATCAACCAGCAATTCCGATTTATCGCGTTCTTGAGCCCGAGGGTCATGTCATCAATGAGAGCGAAACACCTGAGGTAAGTTGGAAAAATTCTTCTGTTACAATTTCTTTTTCTGTATATCATAGATAAAGAACTTGAAATATCAAAAATTCACCTGTTAAGAAAACAGAATTTTTCACTAAATCAGCTGCACAGAGAAATTTGTTTGTTAAATGAAAGTGTGACAATACATCAATGGATATTCTGTCTAATACCTTTTGCGATAGAGAAAATTTTTAGTCTTTTTCTACATATTGTGAGGACATTCCGGCAGATTTTGCACTTAATTCAATATTGGTTTATTTATCTGGTATTTCATTTGTATTTGTATGGGAAATAAACATCATTCTATTACTTTTAAACACTTTGCTGCCTTTATTATACATATTAGCTATTATCTAGTTCACAGACGAACATATTATAAAACTCTATAAAGACATGACACTACTCAATGTTATGGATCAAGTTTTGTATGAATCACAACGGCAGGGTCGTATTTCATTCTATATGACTAATACCGGTGAAGAAGCAACACATGTTGGTAGTGCTGCTGCTCTCAATCCAAAAGATCTTATCTATGGACAATATCGAGAAGCCGGTATGATAGTAATGATAAGTTTCTTCCTAAAGTAAATTAGATTTCGATTATTAAAGGTGTTCTCATGTATCGTGGTTTTAAATTACATGAATTTATCGATCAATGTTTTGGTAATGCTCATGCATCATGTAAAGGTATCCAAATGCCTATACATTATGGTTCAAGAAATCTCAATTTTGTTACCATTTCATCCACAGTGGCTACACAAATGCCACAAGCTGTGGGTAGTGCTTATGCATTTAAACGGTAACATCGTTGTTTTACTTTTTGTTATTTATTTATATTTTCATACACAAATAACATATTGCTTTTTTTGTTTATCTTTTCAAGAGCTCAGAATATGTTATGTGTTGTTTGCTATTTTGGTGACGGTGGTACAAGTACAGGTGATGCGCATGCTGCTCTTAATTTTGCAGCTACTCTGGAAGCACCTGTTCTCTTTTTTTGGTTAATTCTTATCTTTTTCATGTTGTTCATTTTATAATTGTCTTGAATATTTAGTCGAAACAATGGTTATGCCATATCAACATCGACTATTGAACAATATCGTGGTGATGGTATTGCTAGTCGAGCACCCGGTTATGGCATGATAACAATACGTGTTGATGGAAATGACCTTTTTGCTGTTTATAATGCTACAAAAGCAGCACGCGAATTAACTGTTAATAAATCTCGACCTGTATTGATTGAAGCAATGACGCTCAGGTATGAACAAAGATTCCCTCTAGTAGACAAACATTCGATGAACGAAAACTAGCTAATTTTATGACTCCAAATAACTCTTTTGGTTCCAGAGTATTGCGACACTCGGCATTTTTAGGTTGTGTATCTGTCCTATGATTAATTATAGATCACTGACCTTACTTTAGCCTAAAGATCGGTACTCCGACCCTTACCCACTCAATCAAGGAGAGAAAAGCAACACTCCCGTGACTCTCATGACTCTGGATATCGGTTGGGAGTCATTGAAGTCACTCGGAAGTCATAAGAATGAGCTGGGAGTCATGAAACCTGCTTTCCCTTTGTATCTTACACTAGCATTAAATGATAGGTTAGAGCAGCCTGCAGTACTCTAACTGCCTCTACTGGTTCCATGTGATTTTACTTTAACTCCAATCCTCTAGAGTCAGCTGTTTCCTCCTTGCATTCAGTAGTACAGAAATAGTCATCAATTGATCGAAAGATATATTCGAGGGATATACTGCAATGTCTCAATTTATTATTCTAATATTATTTAGTTACAATATGAGTATTTCCATCACTGATTTTCGAAAATGTTCAGAAAAATGTTTCTTTAACTTTATTAGAGATAAAACTTACTTGATAAATTATCAATCTAAATAAATATGCAAAATTTTCTTTCATTCTAGAGTTGGTCATCATTCAACATCAGACGATAGTTCAGCATATCGATCTATTGATGACATACGTTCACGTGATCAAAAATATAATCCAATAGTACGTTTTCGTAAATATATGTATAAACGTGGTTGTTGGGATGCAGAAAAAGAAGAAAATTGGACTAAAGAATCACAACGAATGGTTTGTTTTTAATTTTCTTTTCATTCAAATAACGAGTTTATATGATATATCTGTCTAGGTCATGCAAGAAGTTAAACAAAGTGAAAAAATGAAACGAGCACCAATTTCGACAATGTTCGAAAATGTTTTTGATAAAATTGAACCACATCTACAACGACAAATGAAAGAAATGAATGATCATATTCGTCAAAATCATGATCATTATCCAACGTTATCATTCTATGAACAAAGATGAAAATGAAGAAGGAAAAACAATGTTACATTTTCCTTTGACATAAAGTCTTCTTTTTTTTAAATTCGTATTCTTTCAAACAATGTACTTGTATTTTTTTCTGTCCGTTTTATTTTTATTTTGGCTAAAAGTTGATTGTCTTATTGTTGTAGGCGGAATTGTAGGTGTAACTGTTATACGACATCTTCAATTAACATTTTCCCAATTGAAATGTTTGTTTGTTGAAAAATAAAATATTTTAGGTTAGAATATAAAATCAAGGCCTACGAGCAAATCTTTTCTTCTCAATACAATATGCCATTTACTGTCTAGCTAAACATCAGACCGATCACAATTCTGGAATAATACATACAGGAATTTATTATAAGCCAGGATCATTAAAAGCTAAACTTTGCATTGAAGGATTGAAGTGAATATATGAATATTGTGATGCTAATCATTTACCTTGTAAAAAATGTGGCAAGGTTGGATTTGTTTCTTGCTTCTTTTTGTTGGTATGAATATTTGTTTATTTTGTTTCCCGCTCATTGTTGCTGTTGAACCCGATCAATTGACTCGTCTCCATGATTTATATCAATGAGCAACGCTAAACGGTGTTCAGGGTGTAAAAATACTTGATTCGCAACAAATTCAAGAAATTTAACCCAACTGTCGAGTATGTAAATATTCTGAAATCTTGTAATTCTTATTTTTTTTATTTGTTTTTCAAGGCTATTCAAGCATTACATAGTCTGCATACGGGTATTGTCGATTATACTCTATTATGTCGACATTTGGGTGAAAGTTTTGAACAACTCAATTTGACGAATTGCACTTAATTTTGAAGTCAATAAATTTTTACCATCAAATGATCCTTCCTTCCTTAAAGCGAATTCAAAGTAAGAATGGCGTAAGTTGTATATTTTTATTTTCAGCTATAGAGTAGATTTTCGATATATGGTGTAATCTCTCACCTTTCAGCTATGATCATTTCTACTTTTGATAGCGAATATCGAAAATCTAAATTTGAACCCATGTTATCTTTGTTAATTACACCTACACTACAGTTACACCTACAATTCCGCCTACAACAATAAGACAATCAACTTTTTGCCAAAATAAAAATAAAACGGAGAGAAAAAAATACAATGTTGGAAAAGGAAAAACAATGTTACATTTTCCTTTGACATAAAGTCTTCTTTTTTTTAAATTCGTATTCTTTCAAACAATGTACATGTATTTTTTTATATCCGTTTTTTTTTTT